CTCTCTCTCTCTTGGACGCGGCCGATAACATCAGACGGGGGAAATATAACTTCTTAGCACTCTCGTCGCCGCTGCGCGGAGAGGCGTAATTGCGATTATCGCGAGTGCGCCGAGTCTATAATTAGCGATCGATACGCAAGCGCGGACGAACGGACGACGTTCCGGAATATCGAGCATCCGCGTTATTAATCCTCCGCGGTGTGCTGCGCGCGCGTTTTTGTCAAACCGCGAACCTTCGCCGGCGACGCCTTGTTCTCCACGACGAGGTGTTACAACGTTATACAGCGAGACGCTCACGACGTGAGCGTTACGGATGGATTATTCATACGCCGGCGATACACGTTAATGAAAACATTCCTCGCGGCTCACGTATCGATAAACACGTTAAATATACCCGCATTGATTAGGGACGTATTAATGAAAGGTCGTGCGAAAGATTTTCTCGGAGCGACGCGACGAGAAGATTCATCGATCACGTGTCTGCGCGCCGCAACGACTCGATGGAAGATACATCGATGCAATATCGTTGCGCTCTCGCTGCACCTGTTCCAGACTGCTCGGGCGAGGAAGCGGAGAAAGTCGGTGCCGGGGATCTCGGATCTATTTCCGTGGGGCCCCAACCGGGCATTAACAGACGGATGGAGACGCGGAGCGGCGGCGACAAGAGAGAGAGAGACAAGCGAGACGGCGAGGGGAAATTTATGTGTTTGGGGAGGGTCAAGGGAACGAGGGTAGCGACAAGTGCAGCGGACGGGCGGAGGACAGCTGGATGGTTAGATGCAACGAGGATAGAAGGTGGGAGGGAACGTAGGGAGACGTGAACGCGCGCGGAGGGTCGGATGCACTTGCGCGTTATCGAGACGAATTCCATTCTCCGGATCGTTCCCGACGCGCGAGGACGCGACGGACCGCTTTTGGAACGGGGCATCCGCGGCATCCCGGCTCCGTGCCCCGGGAAAGCTATGATCGGTGGAACCCAGAATCCGTGATTCCGGCAGAATCCCCGCCGCCGGGGTGTAGAATCCGCGGGCGACAGAATCCGGGGGATCCAAGACTCTCGGCCGCCACGTGGCTCGCTCGCGGGAGCCAGGATCCGTGGAAATTAGGATCGAGACCTCGGGGCGATTATATGACGGATCAGAACGCAGCCGGCGCAACGAATTGGAATCATGCACGATCTAATGGTATTCAAGACTTGTAACGCGGAACCCATTATCGCACTTGGGAACGTGTATCGAAAAGGAATTATCATTCATACACGGAGCAAACTTTATGGTAAAAATTATTATAGAATTTTGTAATCGAAAAATACATCGACATTCTGCAGTAATTGACTATCTTTTCATTTCACATGTGCTACTGATATTTTAGGAATTAAAATGTGCTATTGACAAAACGTTTGACATGTTTCTAAAACAAGTCAAATTCTAACGAAATTAACCATGTTCCTCAACTCAAAGTAGACCTTATTGAAAGTCTATTCCTACTATTGGAAACATAGTAAGACTGAAAAGAATTTATATGAAAAGAAGACTACAATATTCTCCCCGTATAAAAACTACAGTTTAAGAATCATGAATCTAACAATGTCACATAATTTCCGACGGCTCAGGTGCACGGAATCCAAGATCCACCCAACCTCCAACCCTATCTCGAGATCGTACGAAAATCGCAAAACTGAAAGCTCGAGGAACCTCGTGGCAGTCCTTCGGCTGTCCCGCCGTGATCGCAATCTAATAAATCGCGAAAGTCGTCGAAAGAAGTGCGCGCGTTGCACCGAGCCGGTCGCTCTAGTAACGGAACGAGTCGAAAGTGAATTATATAGTTATTCGCGTACCAACGTTTAGCGTGCGAGATTACTTTCTTTTGCCCTACTTCTGTTTTCACGAGCGCGCTCGCTGCTGTCGGCGGTTTCTTCGTTGTCGTCGTCGTCGTCGTCGTCGTCGTCGTCGTTGTCGTCGTCGTCTCGGAAGAGGTCAATCGTGAGACGAGAGGGAGAACGATACAGTGACGCGCTCTCTGCGAAATATAATAAATCGCACGCACGTACGCGCTCACGTATGAAAATCCGCACGTCGACACGCGCGCACGCCTCACGTCCGTCCGATCGAGCGTGTAATGAAGCATCTCGCGTGAAAATCCGCTTTTTGCGCGCGTTACGCACCGGAGACTCGGTGAAAGTGATGCTCATGCCGAAGACACACGCCACTCGACACGCCAGAAAACTAGCGTGTATGTACGTGCATCATACGCGCGCGCGCGCGCGCACGCACACATACGCGATGCGCTCGCTTTCCTCCCGCTCGGTTAACGAGTTCACTAGGTATCGCCGGCTGACAGATCGAAATCTGCCGGATAACGCGAGATATCCTCAATAAATTAGAGCCAATTAATCTCCGCTTTCGCGCATCCCGATAAATATAGAACCGACGGAAGTGCAGCTTCGAATAATAAAGGCACGCTGCGGAAGCTGGAAGGGAAACGAGCAGGTTGCCTCTCTCGTGTGAAATATAAATCGCGGACAAAAACGCGGATATAAATTAATCCGCGAATGCGTCTCGTATCTCTTTCTCTCTTTCTCTGTCTCTCGTATCTCATATTGTTCCGATGTGTTGCACCTCCGCGCAATGTTTTTCGAGCTATTCTGCACGGCATGTACGTATGCAATATGTATCATAGTCTCGTATGGTTTTTTGCACAAAAATATCGACGATTTTCTTTTTGTCTAAAACGTTTTTATGACGTTCTTTTTTTCTACACCACCGATCAGCACGAAGTAACGCGATGCTCAGGAGGGAAATGCTATTTTGCCTGTTTCCAAAATCTCTCGTTGGATCTCCCGCTAATCGCGTTGTAACGTTACTCCTTCGGTTTACGTGAAATGTCGAGCATTCAAGGCACACGCAAAATACAATTCTACTCGAAAACATGCGAACATAATATCTCGATGATAATCGAACGATAATCGCGCGCGCACGCCTCGATTCTCGCAGAGGTAAATAATATTCCGAGATGGAAAACCCGTTCCGTGAGGGAGAAGGAAGGTCTATGACGCAATTAAATATTTAATATGACACTCGGGGCGTAAGCAGATTTCGAGCTGTATTTGTAATAGTTTTGTTAGAAAGTTTCGTCTCTCACTTTCCAACCGCTTTCTAAAAATGTGAAAAGAACAACGATGAGCACCCACTTCAATTCGTGTTCTAACGGCTCGTAATTACTCGTCGCGGCCTGCGGTCAGGACGAAATTGCAAGGCGATACTCTCCGCCTCGTCAAAAGCCCGACAAAACCCGCGCGCCAAGATCACGCCGGGCAAAAAATCCGGACGACCGATCGGTGATTGTCGCCGCGCTGCCGCTGCTTCACGAAAATCACCGGACGGAAAACAAAACTTTGAAAATGCCGTCGCACGTATATACGCTCGTTGATTAATATTTACGAAACTCGCGCGCTTTACGATAAAATTATATATGCCAGGCAAACAGTAGCCCGCGTTTGTTAGAGAGCAAATTGGATTTGCGCGTTACAAATCCAGCAGATGTCAAAACAGCGACAAATTTTTCATATGAATCTGTTGGCTTCTTACTATACAGTTGATCCTTCAATTATTGCCGACATGCGCGTGTATGTTTAACAAATATACGTATTGGAAACAATATCGTATTGGGACGCATTTATCTGCGTTTTTTGACAGATACAATACCTGCGAATGGAGTCATTCGCAAACTCCGTGTTTGGTATTTTTTACAAAAATTACTTGAATCCAATGAGATCCAAGTGATAATAAAAAATGAAACTTACAACGAGAAATCACCTCCCGACGATGTTCGCAGGAAACACAGTGCGTGCACTTAATCTCTTCAAGGGCGAATTTAATAAGATCCAAGGAAAATGAATCTCAAAGTAGCCTAAATATGATAATTGTCAATCATGAGATGAGATTCTCTTTTTCTTGTGAGATTTCGCAGTGAATGTTCACTCACAGTTCCTGGTAATCTAGTCGATAATGTTCGAACCGAAGAAGCATCGAGAGAATGTATCTAAACGTACATGTATGCGTTAGCATCCTTGAAGAGGTTAAGTGTGCGTATGCACGAGTGCGGCAATGCGATTCCGTTGGCGTTTACCGGATTGCTCCTTCGTCTTCTTAAACCGTTCGCGAAATGCCCGAAACAGCGCCGTTTTTACGGACGTTCTTTCTTTCCTTCGTCGGGAGCTGCGTCGCGTTACGACATGATTGCAAATTGCAAGAATTGGGCCAACGCACGTAGCCGCGCGGGCGCGCGTCATCGCCCGTTGTTTTTTTTCCGTGTCACCGTACGCGAGAACGCACACGCGCGAGATTATCGCTAACGCGGATGTCTGCTCGCGATTCGCGGGGCCTTGGCCGGTTTTCCTTTCGGACGACACGGCGGTTCACCGTTCGAATTACCGTCGTCACGCACGTCGAGAACGACATGGCGGACTGAAGCACGCGACGCGCGCGCTCTCTGCTCCCGATGGTAAAGAAGATTGTATCCCGTCGTCGGCAAGCGAAAGATGCGTTTTACCGACTGCGAGCATGTCGATAAGGCGACATGTAACTCATATCGACGGTGACTGTTGCGTTTCTCAAGTGTACCGACGTACGTCGAATGAGAAGAAAAATATAAAATGATGCTAAAATCGACTCACCCTTACTCGGCTCCGGTTGGATGTTCTCCGTCTTGATCTCCGTCCGCGCGACATACGATATAGAAGCCGAAGATCCCTGCGTCGAGGACGCTGCTAATTTTTCTGAACACAAACATACACATTATGTTGAGAACAATTTATTATAGATGTCGCGAGGTAACAGAACAGTAGAAGCGTCTCACGCAACGCGCGTGTATACAAGGAGAAAATATTATAGTTTTCATGTAAATTCTCTTTTGAATTTTACCGTTTCCAGCAATATAGGAATAGACTGTCAGTCTATCTTGCTGAGGAAAATAGTAAATTTTTATTATAAAATTCTCTCAGTGTAAAAAACATCTTAGGATATTATAAAGGTCGTATTAATAATCGTTACTTGTTTCGCGTGAAATTTTCGATCTGAAAATTTTAGAGCTTTAAAGCTCTAGATCAAAGTTTTTGCACTTGTATCACTTATATATTTATTTATTTATAGTATTTGTAGTTGCGTGATTGCACTGTGAAAAGCTTACATTTCTGACTCTAAATTCAAATCTAAGTATCTCACTTGAGGAAAATTTCAAGTAACGATTACTAATGTGAACTTTGGAGACACGTGTTAAAATTAATTTACATCGTCTTCATGTTCTCTGGAATATTGAGGACAGCGACAATATGATATACGACAATCACCTGCTAATAAAGGATTCGCAGCAGCAATGTTGTACCTCTGCCGCCTACAGGAGGAAGTTACGGAAGTCGTAGTGGAGGTCGGTTGACTGGGCTCGGGCAGATCAACCGACAGTTCCCGCAGGAATGTATCCAGGGGGTCGAAGGGTTCTTCCCCTGTGACACCGGGCATACCCTCGCCCTCTTCCGCCGGTACATTCGACGCCGCCGGCGTTCCCACTAGAACGCTTAACTCCATTGGCGAGAACTCCACTGATTGACCTGTGTTGCTTTCCTGCAAACACAGAAAATTTCAAGATAAGAGAAGCTCTCACTCCTATATGCCGATCGACAGATATCTCTCCCGCTAAAGTAGTCTCGTATATCTCAAACCAGTAAATCGTAAATTTTACCCATACCAGTCTTAGAAGCTCCGAAAGTTTGCGAATCTAGAAATATTGGATTTAAAAAATTTTTCAAACATGCGAAGTTACATTTCGCTGCTCGACTCACCTGAAGGCACTGGGTTAAATCCACCATCTTGCCGTCATTGTCAGGGCACCAGAGTAGCTCGTCGTCTATGAAGGGCATGTTTGTCTCCTCCTTGGGTACGAGGGTGGTGGTCAGCGTGAGGGTTTGCGATACGGGGACCGGCATCGGGACCCGTATCCGACGGCGGGGCCACTTTAGCCACCCCCGCGCCCTCTAACATCCAAAACCACCTCCGGGACCTACCCCGCCTTTGCGCCTGCCGCGCGTGCAGCAACAACCGAACGATTACTTGTTCTCTTCTTCCTCTACGCGCTCGTGTCGTTCCCCTGAAAGCAGAATGCACACAGCCTTAAAATTAAATTTGTCTCGCAAAATCGTAATTGATACTTATAAAAAAAATCGTTGAATTCTCTCTCCATGCGGATTTAATGGGATAAGCTATTCAAGCGGCTTAATTAAGCGCGAAACGAGACCTCGCGGCGATCTCGCAACGATTTCCGGTGCGTCGTGCGTTCGCACTTTCATTCGGATTCTAATTTGAACTCGGCTAAATCGCGGCTTGATTATAATGTTACTTTCTCCAGCCGTGTGTAGTATAAGTACCCACATGAATTTATACGCGATGTAACACTATGCGGAAAAATAAGAGGGAAGTATACTCTCTCCTCTTCTTCCTCTCGGCCCTGGTAATAAAAATGGAATTTCAGATCGCCAATTAAGATGTAATTAAGATGCATTGGAAATCCGGCGCAAAGATTTATGAAACGCTATATTACACCTAGAAAAAAGTAAAATCTACCGAGTTGACTTCGCAGAATATCGCAATTTTCTAAATTATAACATTTATACGGTCTCTCTTTCTGAGAAACAGCGAAATCAAATTGAGTTCTTTAAGAGATATTATAATCAACTGAATGCATTAAATATTCTCTCGCATACACCACTGTCGATTTGTCAAAGTTCGTCCGAAAAGAAGAAGTATTCACGCGCGTATTTGTAGACTTTATATTTTCCTCATTTTTCGAACAAATTATATAAACAAGGCTTTTAGGTACACAACCAAGTGAGAGAAAGAAAGATAATCAATGAGAGCTAAAGATAACTGATTATTAGTAGGAATATATTTATGTGAAATTGTTCGTCCCAAATAATTATTATTAGTAGCCATTATTTTGCTTGTATTTGAGAGAATGCTTAATCACACATACATAAATCAGGAGATATAAAACTAATTCTCCAAGTCATAATTTCATTTTTTTCAGACTATTGTCCTGCAGATCTGATCGTTAAGCTCACGAGCCTGCTCGTCGGTGCGCGGCAAACAACGTCGATGGTTCGTGGCTAATTCGCGTAATGCCATCGTTGTCGGATGAAGAGGGGGCGGAGGGACGAGGGCAATACGCCGGCAATTTCCATGAAAGTGAAAACACGGAGCGAGAACTTTCTTTCTGGCTCCGTAGAGCTGTTTCACTTCCTGTGCGCGTAACCTCGCACTCTCCCGCCACCGCCGCCGCTGCATTTCTATGCAGCTTCTACTACGACGCGGCGTTGCATTTACGTAACTCGCTGCCGCGAAAGAAAGTTTCCACGAGGAGAGGTTAACATCCTCTTCTCTCGTCTATCTTGTCCGAATATCGCTCGTCGTCGCCATACATGTACTATAATACTTCCACGTGTTTTTTTCGGTATAAGTAAAATAATAGAGAAATCGTGAGAGAGAGAACGAGAGAGAGGAAGAGATAGAATGTAGCATATTTCCACCATGTAGTAATTATTTTTTCAACAAGATGTAACTGATGTTTCTAACTAAAAAGTTAGCATTCCTGGTGTAATTCGTAACTACGGGAGATGTCGATGCGAAGATCAAGTCGGAACTAGGAAGCGCGACGTTTTCCTGCGCTTTGAACTTTTCCCGCCTTGGCGACCGTCCGCGACAGTACTGTACTTTCTGCTCTTCCTCTCCACAGAGTGCACACGTGGCGCTACATGTGCGATCACACACATCAAACTAAGAGTGTTTATTCTGTTTGTCCATAACGAGAGTGAATCAGTGTAGAGTCAGTATGCGAGAGTGAAACAAACGAATCCTACCATGGCGGACGACAAGGATAGTAGCGAGGAGTCGGATGAGAGTTTAGATGCGAGAAGCGATAAGTTCGACCCACTGAAAGCGTTGTACTCGTCAAAAGGACGATTATCATCTCACAACGTGCCCATCTACGACAACATCAGCAAATTCGAGTCTGTTCTGAAGGGATCCGCCGCACTGATAAGAGTGTGTATTACGTATCGCGTCGATTTTGAATCAAATCGTAGCCAAATACGATAGAGATTCGAGAGCATGCGATATCGAAGCAACCTAACCTAAACTTAACTCAACCTAACCTCTTTGATCGAATTATCAATTCCAGTCCAAAAAACATCAGAAGTTGTCAAAGCAAGAATTCGAAAACATTCTAGAATGGATATTGGAATTCATTTAAAAAAATTCGTGATTGTTATTTACGAGAATCACGAGCGATTCGAGAGATATCGAAAATCCAAGAGACAATGTAGCACGTGGTAGAGATATAAAAAATAATATAAAAAATAATTGCATGATAGAAATCTATATGAGAGATGCAACGAGATAAGAGTGAAATTTCGTATTTATGGACACTAAGATCATCGAGACAGCGATTTCGATAGCTAAGATTCGTGGTGTATTTCAGACAGAGAGCAAGTCGGCCGTCGCGGGACCATCCTCGAGGCAGCGATTTTTACCTCATCAAGGTAAAAGACAAGACACATGGAACTCGGTGGTCTACGGCACGTTTTACGCACGTAGGAGGGTTTTATGGCGCGGCCGTGCGCGTCAGCTTTCGTACGTCTCGCAAGAGATGGCGATCGCATGCTGTTTCACGGCGCACGTGGGGACTTCATTCATGTAAGTGGCGTCGCGTAGTATCGAATTTCAATGCGGCATCACGCGCCGAGAAGAATATCTCGCTGTACCCCGGAAATCTCTCGCGCTCGCATGTCTTTAATTACTGCGATTAGCAGTCTCATTAGTTGTCAGACTTCATTTCCATCGCATCGATTTTCTTTCTCTCAAAGCAGACTACGCGAGTCCAATCGACCAAGTTTTAATCCGAACGTGAAGCCAACGGCTTAGTCTCATACTTTTATGAATTGAAAAAAGCGTTTTTTAAATCTTTAAGCAAATCGCAGAAAAACATATTTCTCAATTAATTTCAAACGGATCTTGGTGAAACTATAACTCCAAATCTAACAACGAAGATAGAGGGAAACATCCAGTAGCCGACACTCGTTACAGTACTTATTAGTTTTCGGCATACCCTTACTCGAATTCCATTAAATATCAAGATGTACGGGAATTCATTAATTATTTGCTAATTATCAATTATTTATTATTTATGTATATATATATATATATATATATATATATATATATATATTAATGTATATGTATAAATCTTCATACACCTTGATAATCCAGTAACATTCGCACAAGAGCGCCGAAAACAGGCGGAACGCCGACTACTAGACATTTTTCAAAGATTTGCAATTAACAACGATTTTCTCGGCTTTTCTTGTCGAGGAGGAGAGGTCGACGCGAAACACGCTGAATCTAGCGCGGTTGAAGGTGGGACGATTTGCTGATCTCAGCTGCGGTCGCGCTCGACTCGACGCGATTTCGCGAAATGAAACACGCCAACGGCGCGCGGATTCGTCCGCCTCTTCTTGCACCTAATCACTCGCGTCATCCGCGGCTCTATATTCCAGATACCAACGCACTTTATTTACAGCCTAACAAATACCACGAAGGTCGCCGCAGCGGCTGCAGCGGCGGCAACGCACCAGCATTAGTCGCGCGTGGAATTTGACCTCCGCGAAAGTGTGCGTCAACCGTTCTCGCGTGCGTGGTGAGACTCCGACCGCGGCCGCGTAGAGGCTACCCATTGTTTCCTCTTCCACGACTATCTTTTCCGCGCATATATACACGTATATACGCGATATCTACAATGTCGCGCGAGCGCTCTCTCGCTTTTAAACGGGAAGGAAAGAGATCCTCCTCTCTCTCGCATCATAGTCGCGAACGCGACAACCTTCTGAAGCGTCTTTGCAACCTCTAGACGACGACAACCGTCAGTTAACTCTCACGATATTTTATTAACCCAAGAGAAAGAGAGGAAAGAGGGGAGATATTCGCACGAGTATATCAATTTTGCAGATTCAGAGAAATCTAATCCGACGTGCCTAAGGGAGATCTCGCGCCTTCTCTGAAAGATCGTCGAACGCTGAACTCTCTCCGGTTCGATTGCTCGAAAGAGTGCACCGTTTCTACCGCGGTTGTCAATGCGATTCCGAGATAGATAAATGGAGGAGGTTCGTAATCGATAATTAAGACCGCTGCGTAGGAATAGGTGGCACATTCGAAAACGAGAGGAGACGGACAGAGAGGAGAGGCGCGGAGAAGAGGGGTGGCGAACACTTAGACTCAGCTAGCGCGTTCTCCGCATGCACCACGTCCACCGTTCTCCCGGTGCACCCGGGGGGTATATATCTATTGGCCGGCGGCCAATTACACGAGGCAGCCGATAAATCACGGATCCCTGACCCAGTGCAGTTTTATATTTACCGACGACGGTGCGTGGTGTGCGCGCGGAGGAGCACGGTCACGCGTTCTCTTCGTCTCTCCTTCTTACTCCTCCGTTCCGCACCTCTGTTCCCCGTTTCTATCTCGCTTCGTCTCTCCCGTTTGTCGTTCTTGCGATTTTCTCTCTTCTCATCTCTCTTTCTCTCCTTCTCTACCCCCCTCTCTCTCTTTCTCTTGCCTTCTCTCGGCCGAGGTGGCGCAAAGAGAAGCAAAGGGAGCGAACAAGCGAGGGAGAGACAGAGACGGAGGAATGCCTCCCTCGAAGAGGGGTGAAGAGGGACCCCGTTGCGGTGGCCGTGCGATTGTGCGAGGTGGGAGGTGGGCACTGTATGTATGTGTGTGCATGTGGGGCGGTCAGGGATGGAGGGAACGGAGGGAACAGCGGTACGTGTGTACGTGTACGTAGTGCGGCACTTGTTGCGCGCCCGGACGTCGACCTCTCGCGCTCAACCCGAGGCTCCGCGCCGCGCCGCGCCGCGCCGCGGCGCGCCTAGGGATGCTCATGATACGTCGATACTGTCCCAGTATCGATACCCGCGCAGTACTTTTGGAGTCGACAATGGGAGAGTGAGTTTCTTTTCGCCTCGAAGCATGCCGAATTCGTCATTCGAAGAGAGACAGAGAGAGATAATACGAGACGCGAGACTCCCGGTCATTCCTCACGTTTTCTCATGCGCTCTCGCGAAGAAGATCCGCTGAAAGCTTCATCCAACGATTGATGACTGAAAAATGTTGCTCTAGCCGCAGCGCTTTGTACCAAGTGATTCATCGGCTGTTGCGATTCCAATTATCTCTCGTACACTCTAAACTTTTTCAGTAAAGAAGGCTAGGTTACGTGTAATGCGCAACGCGAGAGACAGTTCCACCGTTCAGATGCAAGGTTCATCTTTGTCAGGAGGACGATGCAATAATTTTGATGTTGAATCCGAATTCGCGTAAACGCGAATATAAAGTAATATTAACCCGAATTTGTGTCGCCACGCAAAAGTGTGAAAAAACTGTCGGCCACTGTCTCAGTATAGCGGTTACATGAGAAATAGCATAGGTAGAAACGAACGTGATTGGTTGAAAAGTTTTGATGTCTATCGATCTTATCGAATCAATCGATCTATCGACAGATCGATAATTACCTCATGACTGGTAATTAATGTAGATAGTGCGAACGTGTTAGCAGAAGAAATGACTATTTTGACAGCTTGATGTTTCGTATACGATAGTAGAGGAAGTTATGTGCTTACGCGCAATCAGCAAGTAATAATGAATTATTTATAGTGATTTTTTACATATAATCTCTCACGCTTATTTTTCTTAGCTTTACTTTTCCTTCTTACTTTCCTAATACTAATTGCGGAAGTAGAATCTATTTTAAGCATAAAAAACATTCACTTTTACGATTTCGAGCGTCGATATTTTAACTAACGCTTCAAGTTTTGAAGATACTTGTTTTGAGTGAGATTCTACTCAAAGAAATTTGGAGAATATGAGTTTCCGAAGACAAATTTCACGCTCGAAGGGTTCAATTGATTCTGAGACTCCTGTGACTTTGCACGAGTTCATACAACCGTGATTCTATCGCTTATTTCCTTTTTTTACCGGCACGATCGATAGTTAGCGATGAAGAGAAGAGTATCGGGCGATATATCGGCGTTTTCGGGATACCTGGCGAAAAAAACCGGGACACCCGATCGTATTCGCTTGAGCATCACTTGATGCATCGCGTGGAACCGGCTGGCCTCTCCTTCTCTCTTCGGCCGGCTCTCTCCCTCTCGGTTCCTCCCGAGCGAAAACTTCGCACGCCACGGCGCAACCTCAAAAAGGTCGTTCGGCTTCCGGCGCTCTCGTTACGGCCGTGTGTCTCTAAATACGTGCACACGGCCCACGGGTGAACCAGCGGGCGAACGAGCCAGAGCGCCGCGACGCTCTGCGTCGTGTCGCGACGCGTGTCTCTCTTGAGCGTATTTCGGAGGTCGACGTTTGGCGATCAGCGAACGAACGTACCAACGAGCTTGGCCGGTCGACCGTGCCGCGCCGCGCCGTCGAAAGTCGCGTGGCGTTATCGAAGCCGATCGCGAGCGCGTCCAGAAAGAGAGAGATGGAGAGAAAAAGAAAGAGAGAGAGAGAGAGAGAGAGAGAGAGAAAGAGAGAGAGTCCCGAGCGCACTTGTTGCGCCCGGACATCGACCTCGCCGCGCGGCGAGCCTCTCCTCGCCGGCTTCGGCCCTCGAACACGTTCCGCCGGAACCGCGATTTTTCCCAATTGTGGACACGCGCCGGCGAACGAGAACGCCACGTCGACGGCCGCCTGCGTGTGCGTTGTGTGTGTATATGTGTGGGGCTAGAAGCACCGCGATTCATCACGTCGCAAGCAACGTACACATATCGGCCGGGTTCTCCTTCTCTCCCTTTCAGTCCGCCGTGATTTATCGCAAATCGATCGGTCTCGGTATCGACGCTGGCACCGATCCACCTGACGCGGTATGCCGGGTATTCGGACGATTGCTCGGTTTTTCGCGCGACAGCCGGGGTTGAGAGTTCACGCAGGATCTGAATAGCTCGGAAAGTGGAATAGCTCGGCAGCATGATCTTACGGGGATGCAGAGACGCGGAATTCGCGAGTCTGCGGAGTTCGCGCTCCGATTAACGACCTGTTGGACCTGTCGGCCTTAGAACTCGTAGAGTATCCGGGAAATCTGCGAACTCTGTCATGAGTTCAGTTAACGTCGGCATCTGTATCGGCGGTGCAGCGCGCAGGAATCCAAGAGCGAGGAGATCATGGAGGAATCTGTCAGATTCACAAAGTCGAGAAGTAACGCGCGGGTCGATGGGTTCTACGGCGCGAGGAGCAAAATTTCGATTTCACGATTCACAGCGCTGCTAGGAATTGGCGAAAATCTGCGGAATTCAAGATTCGGTAAAAAATGAAACTACGGGCGCTCCGCTCGGGAATCCCGGCAGCCACGGCGAGACCGCGATCGACGCACAGCCAAGCAAGACCGCGCGGAATTCGGACTCCTTCGAAGGTGAAATTCGTAATCTCTCGGTTATCTACACGCGCGTTCGCGCAATTTCCGCAGCGGAGGGACCCTCTCGAGCGGGCGACTCTCCTCCCGTGT